TGGGTATAGGTTCGAATTTCTCCACTTGTGATACATCACATAACGGAATAACCAGATTCAGTGGATCCCTTGTCTGTTAAAAAATCTTATATTAGAATGTAAGACAGATATTATTTTTTATATAATTCAAAGAAAAAAATATGCATTTACTTTACTATTGAAACACATAAAGTTTTGAGACAAGTATACTTGTCCAAACACATGTTTTTTATCGTATGGAGTAAATAATGTAGCATTAGTCACTCCATCAAGTTTTTCATTTAAAGGTAATCGGAATAAAAGCCGATATGTTTCAGACATAGCTCTTGCATCCAAGTCACGTTTCACAAAAGACTGTCTTTTGGGAACATATTTACTATAAAAAAAAATAAAACAATCATTTATGTTTACAAAATATTTAAAAAATATTAAATAAATTTACTTGACTTTAAGAAGAAGATCATGATCTTTATTGAACCACACATCATTAATAATTCTAAAAAAAAATAATAAAATTTAATTTTTCATGATGTCAAGTATCAATTTTTAACAATTCATTAGAGTATTAAGTTAGTTATAAAAATGATTATTAGGTGTTAATCTCTGGATCTTGTTCTATACATAAGTTTAAACTCATAAAAAGATACATGGATTATTCTTTTAGACACTTAATTACTCACAAATATTTTTATTATTTAATAATTTATTAATTTTTCATTACCCTTTCATTGCTAGGTTAACTAATTGCTTCATTAATTCAAATGTATCCGATGAATTCAGGAACATAAAAAAACTATACTAAAAAAAAATAAAATGGCAATTGTTAACTAAATGCAAAATTAATATCTCATAAAATAAATTAATAAATATAGTAATTTACATAAACTGATATATTAAAGGCAGAGTGGGTTAAAAATGTAATTTTTTTTCATAGGATTCAAGGAAGGCTAACCTATTTGCATTATGTAATTAAAATTGTCTATCCAAATATTTTTCAATGATTTTTGAAGATGGATTGAATTGATTTTGGAATCTTAGTCCATCTGGCAACCTTTTCATTATTATTGGCTGCCCTTATTTATACAAGAGTAAATTATCAGTGGGTAATTACATATTCATAGTTATAATCAAAGACTATCATAATCAATAGTCTTTAAATAAATCAAAAAGAGACAGAATTATACTCAGAAAACATCTTTATTGACACGAGACGGTCATGAGTTACTTATTGACAGGTCATAAAAGTAATAAAATATTTTAAAGTTTGGTTCAATTGCAAAAATCAGGGTTTGACACACAACTACCAAGTATGGTCAGAAGTAGTTTATCATAGTGTCGCAAAACAAATTTAGGCGACACATGTCTAGCTAGTTTGTACAGAAACTGGGGCCATTAACATGTTCCTGCATGACCTAATACATCACCATGTTTTAAAGAAAACACTAATATCTAAATAGTTCAACATAGTGATTCTTTTTTTTATTATGCACCAGGCAATATCTAATTCAGGCATTATAAAATTAATTTTATACAACAATTTTAAAGGGCAGAAATATATTAAAATGTGGTTAAAACCCAGCGTTTCATATCTGAATAACATAAATTACAATTAAAAAAAAATATGCAAGTACATTTTAGTTGCTTTATGACAAACTGATTAAATTGTAAAATTTAAAGAAAAAAGCTATGTTGTCTTACTTACTTCCCTTTTGTCTCTTGTTATTACTTTAATAGTATCTGATAAAATACTAGAATTTTTAACCAAATTGATTACATCAGTCCATCTCACAACTATTTTATCTTCTACTCCCAAAAAATATGAATAAAAACATAAATATTCTACAGACAAATAAAGCCAACCTCGGCGAGGGAGTTTACTTTTCAAATAGCTAAAAATACAAATTGAAAAATTATAACATAATTTATGAAAAATAAAAATAAATTTTAACTTGCCTGCAAGCGTAGTAGCACACTAGAGTACTATCACGTGACACATTGAACAAACGGTGAAATTTTATAGATGCATCTTTAAATGATTCAGAATTGTCTTCGTCTGGTGTCTCTGATACATTAGTTGCTACTAAGCTTTTAATTTTACAGCGAACAAAGTCAGTAACATCATCTTCATTCTCAAATATTTTGAGATCCAAGTTATTTTCCAACCACTCCCAATCTTTTAAAATCTCTGATTCAGTCAATGCACAAGCTATTTCTAGAGTTAGATAATAATAAAAATATTATTATACTTATGAAACAAATTAAAATTAAATTTACTAACAATTTAGACTGTGGTTATAACTATACTAGGGGTACGATAAGATCATGACCATTTAACATGAGGAAAAACTGCTTAAGATGGCAAAATGGTTTTGTTCTTAATGTGGGTGGAGTATACAGTCCCAATTTATAGGTTTATCAACATCATTACTGTGTGTGAGTTAAGGAGAGGAGGAAGACAGAATTCTATGAAGGTCTAAAAGTGAAGAATGAAGAAAAAGAAGGGAAGACATACATTACTGAGCTAAGCAAATTTTATAAGAGTGAATAATGTGGACTGAATTCTTTAAAGGGCTAAGGAATATTTAGCTTTATAAGCACGTAGGAATACTTTGTAAATTTTAAGAAAAATATACTTTTGTATATTTTAATTTTCCATTATTCTTATAATTTCAATTTTGGGAGCTATCTTAATTTTTTTTACTATTTATCAATAAAATATAAAAATATTTTTTTCTTTTATTGAAATTAATTTTCTAATTATTAGTAGTTTTTTCTCATATGATAATTTATAACTTTTTCTTTAAAATAAAAATGTTTGTATCAAAACATATGATCTGAATTGATTATGGCCTAGGGGTGGTGTGGGGCACATGAGTTTCAATTAAAAACTATAAGGCTCAAACATATTTAAACAACCCAGTTGATTGAATTTTGTATATTTGCGTGTATGGTGCTTAGAGTAAGGATAGAAACATCAGTCTAACATTAAAACCTAATTAATTCAGTTGTAGAATAACACCCTGATAAGCAAATGGCTTAACTAATTTTGATTACTTATTGTTTGATAGATGTGTACCACACTAGTGGTTTAATAAGTTTTTCTCAGGCGTATTGTAAATCAATGTTATAATCAAGTAGCTATTAAACAACAATAATACCATAATACACTTCTGATCTTGGTGTTCGATGTAAGATCCTGTAAGGACTTGGCTTAGTTTCAAATAAACTATCAAACGTCCCCACTAATAGCGAAGATAATTTATTCCCCTGTCCATGACCGACGCGGTGTTGCAACAGAAAATATATACTTAATTTTTCGTTTTGCCTAAAAAAACAAAATAACCTTAACTTGTATCAATCTTAAATCTAATACTAATTCATGAAAACATATTAAAATGTACATAGATATAACATATTTAAATTTAAATTTACCAAAAAGTGTTAGGGATTAACACTTCCTTGGGATTTACCCACATATTAACAATATAAAAGCACTTTATCTAAATAAAACACAATTTTACATATTTTCAATTGACCGGTGGTCCAGTACGAATAATTAAGAAGTAAATGTGAAATCGGTTAAATTTTAGAATTAAAATACAAATGCTCGTTGTGGTGGACTTGAATAGGCAACAGAATTGTGAATAACGAACAATAGTGCCGTAATTAGTAAAAAATGACTAATGGCTATAGAAATATTAACAAAAACTAAAAAACAACACGAATTTGTTTTCATCGAACCACAACGAAACATCACCTTTATTACAGAACATTAGAATATTAAAACAAATAACAATAATTTGTGATATTGAATATTGTGGATTGATGTAATCAGTAATCACAGAACAATAGATACATTAGCGACACTAAAAGGTGATAACAGTTTGTTTACAAAAACTTGGAGGCGTTCCAAGGTTTATAGATTGGAGGCGGCCCGGTCGGTCAGAAGTCAGAACTCAGAAGTCGCCAACAAATCGTTGGAGGATGGGGCTAAAAGTTAGTGAAGTTTCTTTGTAAGTTCACAATGTAGAATTGTAGAGAAGATAAGGTGATATCGATTGCACACAATACAAATTCCAGTCAGAAATTTGCTCGACAGTTTGGTAGTATATATATCTTATGCAGATAGCTCTACCATGCGACCGAAAGCCAGTTTCTATATTGTGTATACATTGTTTTGAATATAAAATATTAAAAATGTCTACATATTTTTGTAATTTTTGATACTATTACTCAAAGAAGTTTCAATTAGGGAAGTTTTATTATATTATATTTCAACAACTGTATTATATGTTACACGGGCACACGGTTATATCAGTTTAGACTGCTTGGCTAAATATTTTTGTTTTTCAATTTTCATTTTTTCAATATCGTACCATTGAAAGATACGACAGCGGTATCACCTTATCTTCTCTACAACATGGTATAACGGTAGTGTTTTACCACAGAATAGATCATATATTGTGAATGATTATTATTAATTATTAACTATTATGATCTAAGCTTTACATGAAATGTTTTTATTTGCCGTTGAAATTTTTAAATTAAAATAGAAAAAATATTTCAAATTATTCCAAGACATTTAGTTTTGTGCATCGATGACATGTTACTTAAATTTTTAATTTGTATAAACTACACATAAAACATAAAATAAGATACAATTAATTGCCCTCATGAGACACATTTTATAAAAATTGTTGAGTTAGCAAGTTAGCTTACATCTGTGATCTGTCATGGATCCAATTATGATCAGTTTTAAAATTTAAAAGACACATCGAAGCAACCATTAACAATTTGAATTTTTTGTTTCTGGTGCTATAATAACTACTGACTACCGTGTTAATGATGATTTCAAAAACATAATTTTTATTATATTAATAGAATATAAAAAACGGAATAGAATCAATTTTAAATCGTGGTTTGTGTTATCAAATTTTGTTATCGTGGGTATTTAACACATAAACCTAATATTATATATAAATATTATGTTTAACACCACTAATATAGATAAGAATCTAATGATATTGGATTACGTCGTGTGTACGCCACAGAAATTTATAATACATTACCATCATATTTACTCTATGCCCGATTATATGCTAAACTATCAACCTTATTACTTATAAAAAAATATTATTCTCGTCATGATGTTAAAATAAATGCACTTGTATAAAATATCAAGCACTAAAAACGAAATAACCTCAGTAGTTTAGGAATTGTGGTAAATATTTGAGTTTCTTTTGTTTATGAATATATTTGTATATAATTTAGCGACGGCATGTCAGATTCCGAAGTAGAGTTTGAAAGTGCTGATGAAGGCAGTCAAGGCGGAGATGGATGGGAAATCGAAAGCGATTTTGACCTACCAGATGTTAAACCTGTGTCAGTAGAATCAAAGCCAACTGGAACAAAATTGTCTACATTATCCAATGTATCTGATAAAGTGGATATTGAACAAAATGCAAAATGTGAGGACACGAAACAACCTGGGCTAAATGATGCATCTGATGCAGTTTCAACAGTACAGTCTAAATTGAATGAATTAGCTGTAAACAATGACAACAGCACAAAATCTGGACCCCAAATTTCTAGAGTTGTTGAAAACGAAGTCAAACAAACTAGCACACAAGTAAGTTAATCACCTATGTTTATTAATTATTAATAAATTACAAATTAAAACATTTTAATCAACACTTGATTGAGTTGTTTTTATTATTTTGTACATAGTAGATAGTGTAAAGAAATAGGCTATTTAATAAAATAGTTAGTAGTTTTTTTTTATTAAATTATCAATATGACTACTAGAACTTTATAATTTACAAAATACAATTTTAAAAGCAACATTTTTTTATAGGGTTGGGGTGGTTGGTCCAGTGGTTGGAGTGTTAACTCACTTTTATCAACAGCGAGTGCATTAACAAACCAAGTTTCTCAAGGTATAACTAATGTTATCGGAGCACCAGCACCTGAACAGTTAGCGTCAGTAGATAAAGATAAAGAAATAAAAGATTTAAAGGAAACAAAAGACAATAGTAATTTTTTTTTTTTGGGAACAAATTTACTTTAGCTACCCAGCATTTTTTGTTTTTTTTATTTAAACATACATATTTCAACGAGTTAAGAGTTTGATGCAAAAAAAATTTGTGGAATCTTTGTTTTGGAAATTATATCCTTTCAAAGTTTTTGATTTTACATTCATACGCAAGCGCACAACACTGTTATTTACTGCCGTGCACACTTGCGCAACTCCTAAAACAAATTTTTATTACTTTAGAGTTAAGAATGATGGTGAAATCACTAACATCGTAATCAGTACTATCTTGTTTTAGCCTATTTAGTTAAGAGTGCAAATAACAATAGCATAGTCAGGATTTGTCGGTTGGACTTAGTTTTAAAGTTATAGTTGATTGAAATTTATAGTATTTTCATATATACCAGGTGTGGTCACTCGCTCTTTCAAATTTAAAATCAGAAACATCGCTCTGCTTGTTAAGTAATTTTGGGTGGGTCTCAGACTTCAATAGCTGAAACTTCAGAACTAAGTTCAACCGACAAATTCTGACTTCACCATTGTTTTTAGCATGCTTAACTACATATGTTCATACAAAATAATTTTAAGAAAAAGGGTGCCCGATAAGACATATATTCTGCTCGTGTGCTCATTCATAACTTAAAAAAATCAAAATTTGTTATATGCGCTACAGTAAGGTTTGTGTGTATGCATTTATAAAAAGTAAAATCTCAAACTTTGAAAAGATATAACTTTTAAAATGAAAAATGTCCACAAAAAATTTTTTACACAATCGTACCTAACTTTTTGAAATACATAAGTTTCAAAAAAAATACCGTGCAGCTAAAGTGAATTAATGTCTTTATTTGTATGTATATTTTCTTATTTTGTATTGTATTTTGTAGTAGATGAATTAACTGTAGAACCATCAGAATCAATATTGGACACCAATTATTTTCTGAGCAATGTAAGTCAGATCACAAAAATTGTTGAAACTACTGGCAGTAAAATTATCAGTGGAGGTCTTGATACATTAGAAACAGTGGGCAAGAAAACTTTAGAAGTGTTACAAGACGGTGATCCGGGTTTGCGAAAAAAAAGAGCTATATTTTTTCAAAATACTGAAAAAATTAATCTGTCACAGGTATTTGAATTCATTAAAACATATTATATAAAATAAATATCTAATAATAAATTATTAGTTTATTATAAAAAAATGTATTTATGCAGTCTAAAACCTGATAGCTTTCAGTGAACAAAATAACTCAAAATATATAAAGATATTATATATATATCATTTTTATGCTATGTTGTATTTTCTTTGTATTGAACCTTGTATTGTTACATAAAGTAATAGATTGTCAAATGTTTTACACTTTATAATACTACACTCTTTTTCAAATGAGAACGCACCAGGTGGAAGACAATGTTTCTAGTTTGTACATCTGTCCCATTCCATAGATCATTACAGTTGACACCGCGTTCCCAATCCAATGCTCAAGCGCGGTTCGTTCTCATTTTAAATAGAGTATATATATTAATAAGTGGATTATTTAATTATAGATCTTCTGAAGTATACTGTTGTACCATAATGCAATCTCTTAATCTATTAAACTTTATTGGTTTTTATTTAATTTTTTATCAATAAATATTTGCTAAGGTGTTCGTAACTAAATTAATCATGGTCATTTTTATAATTTATACTCTGCCTTATATAAAAGTAACCTCAGACTGACTTCTGCACGTAGTGACATAAATGAGTATGGACAATGCGTGCTCAGTGTTGTGCTTTAAGGAGAACCACTTTGTTATTCTAATAGGGTAATCATCATGATACCTTCCTTGATTCTTCACTGACAGTTGTTCATTGATTTTTTCTATAATTTAAGTATTATATTTTGTAATGCCTATTGGTTTATTCCAGGTATTACAAGAAGCTAAAGAAAAATCTGAAGTTGAATCTAAACAAAATAATCAAGTTGAAATAAGAAAAGGATATGCATATTTGTTAGATAGTTTTCAAGGTAACAAATTATATATGTGCTTAACAACTTAATTTTATATTTATTTATTACATTTAAAAAAAATTGATGTAGTTTAGAGTTGCATTCACATGTATAATTTTTGGACATTTTAATAACAAATAGAAATTACTAGTAATAGATGTTTAATTTCAGATATGAAATAATTTCTTATTTTGAAGTGTATATAGAGATTTATATGAACTTATTTATTCTATGTATTATGTATGAGAGAAAATTAGACAAAACCCTTGACATGTTCAAAGTTATTACAAATAAAGATCACACTACTGATTTAGTGTAATTTCCAGCTTTAGAAATGGTTGACTAAGAAAACAATCTACATTTTGATTTTCATAATATGTAAAAAAAAATTTATATAATATCAAACAAATTTTCTGCTTTCCATGTTCATATAAATACATAAGAATGTACTTATTTTTTGACAGTAAATAAATGTAATGTTTTTATCAGATATCACCAACTTTAAGTAGCCAAATATTATTTGTATTTATTATGTTTTATTCCTAGTGTAGGTATAATATACCTAATAGATTCATAAGAACTTATTATTTTAAGTGTAAAAAAATAGCAAATACAATATTACGATATAGGTATTTAATATTGTGGTAGGTATAAAATCAATATTATCTATGCTAAAAAAATATCCTACTGCATTACCATATATTTTAAAAATTTAACATTTTTTTCTTTTAAACTAATAAATGTTGTGGATCATAACTAATTAAATAACTTGTTTTTTTTCAGGATTAATTCATTTAGAGAGTCTTGAACTATTATCAAAACAATGTCAAATGAAACTCCAAACTGTTTTGTTGTCATACTCAGGAGCTCAGTTAACCGATATTCAAGATAAATTGGATCAAATAAAGGATTTGTGTTATCTTGATTTTGAGGATGATGAAAAAATAATGACCATAGAAGAGTTTAAAAATTCTCTAATTACTTGTATTAATCAAATAAGCACTGATGTAAAAACTGAGAAGATCCTTAGAGTAGGTTCATACATTTAAAAAAATAATGCATGAATGAATTAATTATTTTATATTTTATTAGGTTAGTGAATTGATTGATGAAAAATCAAACAAAGAGTTTGATAGTGAGGATAGTATTCATGACGAAGCTATTTCAGCATTAGCCGAATTAACTGCAGCTGCAATGGAATTGTTCTATAAGCTAGGGGAAATGATAATGATTGATACACAAAATCAGCTAGTCACTGTGAAAGCTGAACAACTTTCTCTGTATGATTTGTATATAATATGTATACCTGTATTACTTTAAAATTGTAATAATTTATTTTTTTTTAGCCTAAATGAATCTGTATGTTGCCGAATTCGATTTATTGCCAATAAATATGCAAGTTTGTTGACGAAATATGATGCTGATGGTACTTCTAATAATATAAGTGATGTCTATCTTGAGGTAAATTGACTTTATACTTACTCTACATTGAAGTTAAATTATATTATTTATGTATTTTTTTCAGTCATCCAATAGTAGTTCATACATCCAAGATGCTGCACAATTGCTGATACCTATTTTACAACTATCAGTTATTTAATAAACTAAATTTTATTTGTTTTATTTTTGTATTATATATTAATATTAAACTAAGTTATTGCAATATTAAATAATTGTATTTTATAGTAATATTTAAGAGGTGGATATTATTAAATTTATATTTATTTGCAGTCACATATTAGAGGGTTTGGTCGAGCAAAACTTATGTAGGGAAAGTTTACAGGTAAAAATATACCTCTGTTTTCTAGAGTACAAACCAATTTATCTTGTATGTCTATACTCTATTATTATTAAATTATCTAAGAATATTTTAGTCAATAACATAAGTTTGTTGATGAGTGATGTGGATGTACATGAAGGGGTTTTGTGAGTGACTTAACTGCAAAACGGCAAATTTATGTTCTTCATTTGATAACTATATATATAGTATTATTCTCGGCAAGGGCTTGGTGAATATACATAAACACAATTGCACATTAGTTACTTGATTAACATACTTTACCACATTATTAAAATACATGATATGGTTCATACGCATAAGGTAGTTATTTTATCGTAATTATGTGCCCAACGCCCAAATTAACTACCTACTAATTTATAAAGACAATGATATGCTATAAACATAATGTACATCAACTATATTGCTCAAAAACATGATTTCATAAATCATCATAATTGTTTTTAAAATGAATAAACTATAGTGCTCATTAACAACTGCATAAACATGCTTGGTAATTGTTGTTAATAGTTTCCATTTCAATCTAACTTTCTGTATTTTTCTTTCTTTCTTTTATTTAATTATGGAACGTATATAGACACGATCAACAGACTGAAATATACAAGTCTGTTTTTGAGATTAAATGAGCAGCTTATTTCGGTTCATAGCTCAATAGCAGATATACTCGTACTCTGCAAGCAATCCTCTTAGCTGCAATAAAACTTCAAAAAGTTACTTTGTCGTTGGCACAATTTAAGTGAAAGAATGATTGGGTGTGCTTAACACTTTCGATGTCACTTTATACAGAAATTAAGTTATTTAAATTATTAACAAAATGCCAATTTTCTGGTGGATCTAACCATCCATGATCAGTGCTCGCCGCTCGGTAAGCAGCAGCAATACCACATCTTATGGGTCAAAATTAAGTACCAACCCGGAGTCCCTGGAATCATCAACTTCCACAGTCATTACAGATTTCTAGTGCAAAAAATACATATAGATATCAAGTAGATTCAATCCAAAAATAACAGAGGCAAATAGGAAACCACTCAGTCCACTCTGTTGTCCGCAAGTACAGTAGGTTGTATAAGTGTTAAGTGTGTATAAGTATTTTAAAATTGTAAATCATTTTTACATCAAATACTCATAATTTGCTTTAAAATTAAAATATAATAAAAAACCCGAGACGCCCAAAATAAAAATCTTACCTTTAAATTTCATAAGTGCATAGTAAAGTATAATAATACACATTAGTTTTAAGTTCCCATGAATAATATTTTAAATTTCAACAAAATATATGAAGTTGAATTTGAGTAAAATGTTCATATTTTTCCAATTATTAATAAAAGTACTGGGAAATTGTTGCTTTTTACCCTCTAGTTTAAAGCATCAACTAAATTCACTTTTCAATTAGAAAAGATATTGAAGGTGAGAATTGAAGCATTTTTCTATCATAAAGTGAGTTGATACTTGCCATTTAAGTGGTACAACATAGGCATTTTTAATACCAACAATGATTGTAGCATTATAACTTTTAACAGGGTGGTCCAACCTTTTGTAATTGGCAAGTCAAGAGCATACTTAAGCGGCCCAATAGAAAAAAATATTTTTATTTCGTATTTTATTTTATAATAATATAATACACAAGTTATCACCTTGGGTATAGAATACGTATCTATATTACTACCAGTAGGCACTACCACCGCCTTGGTTTTTTAAATTTATCACACTTAATACACTAAAATAATTAAATATTTTCTAAGGGTAGAAAAAAAGGCTTGAAGGGCTACATTCTGGACAACCCTACTTATGAGATTTTGTGCATACAAACTTTAGTTAAAAATAAATTTAAAAAGATCAATCAAATTTGTACAGTAATTCTGCAAAAACTAGACACTCAGTTCAATTAATCTATCTTTACTTGCGTGTACCAAAACACCGAACTGTTATCTCAATATTATATATTTACAGCTCAGTGATCGTAAATATTAAATTTCAAGGACCCTATTCAGGTTGTTTTCTTCTGCAAATAATGGATTTACATTTTCTTACTATTTCTTTCCTGGAAGGCCGTTGGTTTTTTTAAAGCCTGAGGACTGTGTATTATATAATTTCTTGCATGAATTACAATATTATTTTTATTCAGTGGCTCTACCCAACCCTTCGATGATTATCCTGTACTTGTGCAAAGTTGAAGTGCCAAAGTGGTTGACAAAGACTAATTCCGTATTAGTGAAATTGCGTAACTTTATATTTTCTTATTCCATAGGTACCCTCATAGGATGTCCTGTACAGGAATCATAGAAATTTTAAAACTTATACCAAAATCCTAAGAATACTGCTCTTCTGATCTCAAAATTGCTATGATTATTATAATTTTATTTGTTTGTTTTACCATTAAGGACTACCTAGCACCTACTTACCTATAGAAAAAGTAAAAACCTAAATACTGACCAAGCGGATATACATGAACATGATGTAAAATAGCTGGGCTGAGGCATAACTCTGGTGGTAGCTTCAAATTTTGTTCACAGAATAAATTGTGAAATTATACAATCAGCAGTTGAATTTTTACCTGTATAGAGTGTAGGCTTAGGTACAATATTAGGAAAATGTTGATTTGGTTTTCATTAAGCATGTTATAATGCATTTTGGATTACAAATAATATGTGACAACTTTAAATCAATAATGATTAATGAGTAATGACTGATGCAAGATTGAAGTGTCAACCAGCATTAAAAATGTACAGTTTAAGTTAAAATTACATATTTTAGTCATATCTAAAATTTCAAAAACAAACTTTTTATAGCATACTTTTTAAGATTTGATTCCAGTAATCAGCCTGCAACAAAATGTAATTTTAATGCATATAATTCTACAAATATCAATAATCACTGTTTGAATCTCACATTATTTACACATATTTTCATAAGAAACAAAACACCAAACTCTGTAAACACTGAGCACAACACCAATAATTGTAGATACCCGACACAACATTTACTTAACTCCAATAGTAATAAAAAAAACACCAATATTCAATATTTAATTATGTAATTAATTTAAATTTTCAAAAATAACATTACTGTGTCATACATGAATTAAGATAATTTTAAAAAAAGAATAACAGTTGAATCGCGAATGAAACTTCATCATAAAGCTACAATAACGCACAAGATTAGTTAATTAATTATAAAAGTATTCATCTGTCTAAAATAGTTACAACACTTCAAAAAATATTACTGAACAATCCAAGATTGGATTGCTTGATAATTTACACCATGTTTTCAAAAATATAAGAGAAACGGTTTAATTAAACTGGTATAAATATTAACACTTATCAATAATAAAATAATGCATTTTTTAATATTTTAAATGGTTATCAAAAATATTGAATCACTTTAATACACATTAATAAACTTATAATAGTATTCTACGAACTAGGCATAGCAGCACAATCTGTATAAATTATGTTACGCACTCCACATGTTTTATATAAATAAACTGTGCGTGTAAACTTGAATTAATTAAACCGAAATATTTCATTAAATTGTAAGCACATATTAAAAATGTTTACACAGTTTCCATAAGCCACAATAACTTGTCTTGTTGTGGACATATGCTTTCAAATTAAGAACATAAACATTGTAGCATCAACTTATAGTCAGTAAAAAATATTTAACCTATAATGTATTCTAGAATTATTAGAACTTATAATAATTAATACTATCTAATTATTAAATTTTGTTGATATAAAAAAAAAAAAAAATGGATACGTCCCGTATATATATTATTAAGTAAATATACTTAAAAATTTAGTTAAAAAATGAATGTCTTATTATGAAACACCCCCACTAACTACTACTACAACTAAATGATCGTCTTTTAATGTTTCACTGCTCAAATTCTTTGCACTCTGTTTCAATAATTTGGCTGAATACTCACAAGGAGGAAATGCATATAATACACCGGCTGGTTCAGGATCTTTACTTATTAATGATATAACCCCAGCAGCCTCTTTTTGTTTTAAATAGGATACTAAATTACGTAACGGTCTAATTTGTACCAATGCATCATCGTTTGCAATTGAATTAGTAGAACAAGGCATTGCCAAAAATACAGCATGCATATCAGCAGTTACTATACGTTTAGAAACATCTTCCAACTTTGGCTCATCTAAACGCAACCTTTGGGTTATGCGTAAAGTTGATTTACCATCTTCATCTTTCATCATTGATTCTATGACATTTGGATTACCAGAAGTTAAATAGCATTTAGCTGGGAACTGAGAGCTTTTTAATACAAGACTGCCTTGCCATATATCAGAACATACAAGAGCCAAATCTCCAAGAGTACGAACAGAACTTAATGGACCTGTAGATTGTATTGCTCCTTCTTCGGATTCTACATCACTGTCAATCGATTGGTGAAGTGGTGATCGAGGAGAACCAATATCAGAAACAGAATGCTGCTTGAATGAACGACCGTTATCATAATTTCCAAATTCTCTACTTTCTTCACCATATTCTGTACGACTTTTACGATAACTTCTGGAACTATAAGATGGATACTCACCATCTGGCCAACCATATGGATATTCATCTCGTCTTGCTAGATCGCGTAAATCTCCTGCAGTCGCTGCAACATCATCATGAGATGACTTTGACTTTGATGAATAGGTTAATGTAGGACTGCCACAGACACCTCCATCAGCAAAATCTGTTCTTAGTTTATGTTCTGGGCCTCCTAAAGCCACTCCTCTCATTTCTTTGACAGCTGCAGTTGCTGCATCAATGCTTTCAAACTGTATATAGGCGCAAATATCACCTTTGACATATTCAATTTTTTTAATAACACCAAATCTATCAAATTCTCTTTCTAGCTGAGCAAGTGATGTCCAAGGACCCAAACCACCAACCCATATTCGTTGCGTTGGTGTAGATTTTCCATAGCCAATTTTACATTGAAATTTGCCTAAATATTGACCAGATAATTCAACTTTAGCCCTATGAGCCATATCTAAATTTTGATAACGAACAAATGCATATGCATTTCCTGTTCCTGGCAATGGTCTTTTAACATCAATATCCTCAACAACTCCGTATCTACCAAATATACGGCGAAGTTCTTCATCTGAAATAGAAATTTCTAAATTTCCAGCAAACAGTGTACGTGTGGCTAATGGGTCGTCTTCTGGTGGAATGTGTTGCAAATAGTTTGGAAATTTATCTTTTTTGTCATGCAACAAGTGAGGATGAGGGTGTGGTCTAAATGGTGGCATAAAATGTCTTGGTGGTCCATACAATGGATGGATCGGCCCTAAATGAGGGTGCATAGGAGCCACATGGTGCAGTAACGGTCCTCGAGGTATCATAAGTTCATGAGGATGTAATGGTGGCAAACCTATTTCTCGGAAATCTCGTGGCGGCAGCATGGGGGGAAGAGCACCATACGGTAACCTTTCATAAAACCTATCAGCTGGATGTGGTCTATGAAGTTCTTGAGGAATAGGAGATCTATGATAGTATCGATCAAAATCTGGAGAAAAACTTCGGGATCGAGAACGTCTAGCTCTTGGTTCATAATGATCTCTAGAACTACGACCTTCATAAACAGGTGCGACTAAAGCTATTTTATCAAACAAACTTATTCTAGGCTTACTATGTTTGGCATCTCTAGCATCGTCTGAGCTTCTAAAACACACATATGCAACTCTTTCATCTAGTTCATGTGATATTCTGACAGAAAATTCACCAAATTTGCGGTATTCTCTATACAACGTTTCTTTAACTTGTTCGTCACTTGCTTTAGGATGTAAAGCACTCACACACAATACTTTATAAGTGGGGTGCGAGCGATCCAAATCCCTAGAACGGCCAAATTCATCACGTTCTGAATACCTAGATGGTCTTGGACTAGGTGGCGAGCGAGCTCTACGACGCACACGTTCAGGGGATCCTCGCTCATCTGAACTACCATCATACCTATTAATACTGCTATGGCGTTTTTTACGAGACATAGGAGGGGAATCACCATAGCTTCTGCGTTTCATGTTATCAATTTTCACGGTGATTTTTTTCGATTTAAAATCTTTAGGCAATCCAGTCATTCACACTGTCGCACAATAAAACCATAAATATACCTATAAATATTAATTATTTAATTAAAATATAGAAACACAACATTATGAAATAAATGATATATCTAATAACATATCTTAATTTAATTTCATCAATATTAAATAAAACCAGCTATGTAATAGTAAAGTGCACTTACTTATTAAATTTTAAAACAAACACAATAGATGTCACTGTACTGAAGCTCATCGGACGTCAAAGCAAAATAAAATTCAAAAACGATTGGATTCTAGTTGTTACAGCAATAACTATACAAATTAAACACAAAAATAGATAAAAATTTAAACCAAACTAAAAAGTTAATAGGTAATAGGTATTAGTGGTATTATCTACTAATAGTTTATAAAAAATAAAATGATAATAAATGCAGGAATATAATTACGTATTTATGTGGAAAACAGCCTATCTTCAGCAGGCAGCAACTACATGATGCATTTCAGCCTTTAGCATTCCAAATTTCTATGGTTTCATAAATTATTACAATATTTTATATAATTTATATAAATTTATATATTAAATTCTGTAATATAACGTGCGGCGTGTCGGAATCACAAATCACAATTCACTTCTTTAACTTCTAAGGAATGTTATACTATATAAACACGGTGGAGAGGCGAAAAGGATGATGGAAATAAACAAAAATACAAAATGGCTTAAAAACCTTTTTACATATCATAAACAGTGTACTATCGATAAAATAATTTATCTGCAATAATCGATATATTATTTTAATATCGATGATTATCACTTTATTATACACGAGTATAAATAGTATAATGTTTAAGATACCACGCCAACAATAATATCATTGAACTCTTATTTTTAACACATGCAAATTAAAGTAATAATTTATAAATAAGTCAGAAATTTACAATTAGCGTTAATATTATTATTCAAAAATTACGATCATGATTATCTACGGACTACGACAATCGTGATTAAAATCGACTAATAAAAGTTAGGTTAAGGCTATTACGTCACAACGTGTAGTTGTCGTAATTTATTTTGCCAGCTACTCACTCAATCCTACAACCACCTTGTTGTTTACAATAATATTGTACAGATTTGGCGGCAATTTGAATTCAAATTCAAAAAATTTAAATAGGACATAATAACTGTTATTATGTTTTGACATAAATATTCATAAAATCATAATCTGCTCGTCTATAAGAACTAGTATCAGTCAGCAAGTATAAATTAATTAGTATACTTGTCTATGAATAAACTAATTTATGCTTTAATCAATACAATAATGTTAGTTACTTACGTGTATCATTGGCGCACATACGAAGGTGCCAGGGGCTTAGCACCCCCAGATTATTTTGAGTTGAAAATATCGTTTGAAGTGTAATTTTGCATTTATGAAAATGACTTTATTCCAGATTGTATTGGTAATGCCACAGACATAAAGTTCCTGTTTGAATATGTTTAGTATATTTTTTGAACGTAGTAATTTATAATTTTATTTATTTTGAATTAAATTAATTTATGCCTGGTGTGTATAACCGTATAATGGCGAGGAGGTGAAGGTTCCCACTGCTGGTCACTTTCGGGTAAAACATTTTAGCACTCCCGAGTTTAAGACAGAATGTGCGCCCATTACGTTTCTTACTTAGAGATTCCTCGGGCTCATCTAAATCAATAGTCAAATTTATCATCATTTCTTCAAAGCCGGGCAGGAACTAGTTAAAATGTTAAAAGTTACTTTTTTTAATAACTTTTAACTTGACTAGTTAAAAAAAGAACTAATTAGTAGGTAATAAGTTATTTCTTCTTATAAATAATTGTAACTTAACTTAGTTATTTTGTTAAAACTAAAGTTATGAGTTTTCCTATTAAGAACTGTACCTATATAATGTATATGAAGTATAGAAATTTATAAATATACTGTTGCTTGATAGGTAATAATACAATTTCTAGAACGGACCAAATTAGTAATTTCTGATACAGACATACAGTGATACCTATACCTATCCATATATGTAGAGCGCTTGTTTAGTGGGGGTGGCCAGTTATTAAGCGAAAGAAGAGGATCTATAGCTGATCAAAATTTAAAAAAAACATTATTATTAAAATTTAATAAACATTTCTTGCAACAATTTATTATACTTAATAATTATTATAAATGCAAAAATATTTACAATATTACAATAACAGTTGTTTATCTTATAAAAATATAAAGTCTGTGCATTTATTAATAATTTATTTTACTTTAAACCAAAACTAATTACTTTCCTACGACAAGATAAAAATCTTTATGATTAAGTTAAAGGTATATATAAAAAAAAAGTAACTTAACTTAGTTATTATTTTCATGAAAATTGGTAATTTAACTTAGTTACTCAAATTTGTTTATTTTATAAAATTAACTTGAACTCGACTTAGTTATTTTTAATTTTAGGATAACTTAACTTTAACAAGTCCAAAATTGGTTAACTTGCCCAGCTTTGCATCTCTTCAAAATGAATAAATAAATTGTAAAACTAATTATTGTACACGATTTAAACTTTTATTGCATATTATGTCTAAATATTGTTTGTAAATCCCAATAGCCTTTGCTGCCAAGGGTTCAATTAAATAATATAAAAAAAAAATTGTATACGTTTAAAGTATTTATATTCATACTTCTTTTCACATTCATTTTGCATGCTTTAGATTATTTATATAGTATAAATTTCTTTCTAAATATCACTGTTGAATGCTGTATACACTTAACAAGTATAGGTAATATATTCAGTTACAATATATTGATTACTACTCGTATGCTATTTATCAAAATAAGTAGTAGTACCTATAGTAATTTTGCACACTTAATGTAAAACTAAATTCAATAATGATGGTAAAAATTATTAAAAATTTAATTTCTTGAACTACTGTTTCAGTAACAGAATAAATTTGTCTGCTTCAATTTTAATTAATTCTTCTAATGCTCTCCATCCTTTCTTCTGTGTAGATAGTATGTAATTATTTGACAAATCCCTCAGACTTGATTTTTTACCCAAAACTAAACTTTGACAAATTCTGGCACATACGCAAGTCTGAAATTAAATTACCATGCAATTTAAAAATTATAAAATTATAAACTACTTTATAAATTAATAAAAATATGGATAGTTATTAATTTGTATAATTACATGTATTATTGAGATTTCAAAATCATTTAAATTCCTATACTGTTTTTCATAAGCTTCAACAAAACTCTTAATATGTACATTAGATAACTTAGCATTATCATTTTTAAATTCGTGCATAATTAGGTAACATAAAGCAACAGCAAAATCAAAAATTGTGAATGAATAGACAACATCACCAACATCTATAATGCCAATTATTTCGTTGTCTTTTATGATTATATTATTCATATTAAGGTCTTCATGAATAACACCTGTAAATACAAATTTGTTTTAAACAAAGTAATAATTGTATTATTAGAGTAAATTTTAAGTCTAACTTTTTTCAAGATTATCTGTTTTTAACAAAACATCAGACTGAAATTTATTTATTATTGTGGCAATTGTTTGTCGCTGTTTCTCTTGATCAAAAACGTCTAGAAATTTTAGAACTTCAGGACATTTTTCTAAAGCCCAAAAATGACTTCGATGGAATCCATCATGATCAAATTTCTAAAAATCATTGTAATAGTTACATAATAAATTTAATTTTTAAGTATTTACTTAAGCAATAAGTTCAAAATATTCAGATACGTACCTTTAAAATTGATGTTAAATGACCAACATAAAAACCAAAATTGGAAGATATTTCAGAATTGATTTTAATTTTATCCATAGTTTCTCCTTTAACATATTTGTAGACTCTGACTGCATGTGTCTTATTATCTTTAAAAATAAGCATAGAACTCTAAATTATAGTTTATAGAACTTTGAATTATGAAATATTTGTCATAAAACAAACAGTAGGTAACCCCTAAAATGTGTAAAAAGTTATTATACCACTTACTTAGGATGATAGACCGATAACTTTCACCATATTTATTGAACACAGGTATTGGACAGTATATTCCAGAGTGTTCTATTTTTAAAAACAATTAGGTACCAATGTATTATTAGCTCATTTTATAGACATAGGTATTATATTATACACATAATTACATATTAGGTAGTACCTACTACCTATATTCTATCATAAAATAAGATAGTTATACACTTAAACTGCACTGCATATTATAGGTACATATACCTATAGATAATTATAAACTAAAAGAAAAGTTTTGAATATTTTATAATTTATAACTATCTTAATAAAATACTGACCAAGATGTTGAGTAAGTTTGGTTTGTGCATCTAGAAGTAAACAATTTGTCGAGTCTATTGAATTTATGAATTTTATGACTATTCCGTCAGTTGGAAATTCAATTTTTTCAATGCATTTTTCAACATCCTATGTAAACAAAATACAAATTAAAGATCTTTGTTATTTCCAAAAAGTTATGTTTTGGGACATGTTATTTTTACTTCTTCTATATTATAAAATTATTTAGTTTTTTTTCTAAAGAGAATTACCTTTCTGATACATATTATTGATTGCAGATGTATTACCAAAGAATCCTATTGGAGATGAGGTAAAGAGTATACCGAACAGGTCCCCAAAATCCCAAAATGTTTTAAAAATATAATATTTTTGACAAGGCCATAAAAGATTAATTTGTTTATAAATTTAATTTTTTTTTTGCTTATGACTTATAATGTTATGAGTGTAATAAACTTATTACTTATTTAATACCTAGAAGTTGGAATGATTTTATATTATACCTTCATTTGATTTTTTTCAAATTTGTATGAACAATTAGGTACACAAATGTGCAATTATAATTTATAAATACCTGTATGAATGTATATAATAACTTTGTAATTTAATGTTGTTTAATAATTTTCGTACAATTTTTTTTTTATACTCTTTACTGTCTGAATATCACTATATATTGTTTTTTTGTCCTATATTTGTCATAAGCCTATCTCGTTTAAGTGTATAGTTGTGTAGTTGATAATTGTCGACCTGTCAAAGTTAATGACTCAAAACTAATAAAAAAAAAAACTATATTGATATTTATATGATAAAGGAACCACTTAAAAGTAGATATAGGTAACCTTTACTTAATCTTGGATAGTAGATACTAATTAAATATTATGATGTACTACCTAACTTTGAGATACTTAGATATATCATACATCTAGTTTTCGTTTATATAATTTAGGAAACATCAAGATTCTAGGAATGCGAATCATTATAAAATGTAAATAATCAACATTTATAAAACAACTAAGAGAAAAAAGAGGGTAAGTGGATGTTGCTCTGCTGTATATTAGCCATTAGGTGTCTAGGAAGTCGCCGAAATGGATGATATTAAATTTGAATTCATTATATCATTGTATATGAATAACGATTCTGAGCGGAGACGATATGTCAGACGTCAGTCTAGAATATTTTATATTGTAATTACTTATTATTAATATGGTAGCCGGTAAGTTCAATTAATATTATTCAAAATATTATTCTTAAATTATCGGTGATGCTAGGAAAATATTAAATATAATAATGCAAAATCATAGAACAATAAAAAAAAATCGAGCTGTTTTGGAACCGATAACAACAAAATGATAAATATAAATGATAATCTTTTGTGTTAATATGCAATCTTATCCAAATTTGAACTTAAAATGTCTATTTAATATAACTGTATTTATATATTTTTTAGATTTTTTTTACGGGAGGTTAACCTTGTCTTAAATTTTCAATCCTTACTCCTTAGATATAAAAATTGAAAATTGTATACATTTTTAACTACAAAATCATTTTCAATTTGATAAATATTGTCATAAATTTTTTATAAAAAAAATCGTGCCTATGTATTTTTAATATTTTTCAACTTCTATTTTAACAATTTTACAAGAGTCATGTATTATATTTTCATTCTTTTTGACCCAACCAATAAAATTTTATTGATATTTATAGAAAAAAAAAAAAAATTGAAAATGTCCGTCAACAACTTAAAACGAGGCAAAATATTTAGAAAAATTGATCAAATATATGAATTGATGAAATAAACATTAGGTGTAAATTTCAAGCGTCTACAGTAATTCGTTTTTGAATTACAACAAAATAAGAAAATCGCTACAAGAGAAATCGAGTGAATATTCAAATGTTGTAAAAATTTTAACTTCAAACGCTCATAAAAATATAATTTCATTTCCGGTAAAAATGTTTTATTGTCTTTCCCTACATGTTGAAAACTATTGGGAATTGTTAACCCCCCCTCCCCCCAAGTACTATAACCATTAACCTGATTCACTTCCTTGCCGAAGATGCTGAAGTAGAAAATCGATGCACTACAGCGACAAAAGATTAAATTATTGTACCTATTGGATTATTATGATTTGTAATAGTACTAGAATTTCAAGGAAGAGTATAGAGGAGTATATGTCCCAACCTCCAATCCCCTCTTACACTTCTACATGTAGTGCACTATCGATACATGGTAAAAAACGTGAATATTAGGATAAGTAATAGATAGGTAAGTATAAAATAATTACAACTGGATAATGAAAATTGAAAACAGTTATTTAGCTCAGTATAACCACTGATTTTTACTTTGCATGAACTTTTTTAAATGACACCACCTAGGGGAAATAAATTAAATTGTATAAATATTAAATGCGTGGGCGCTAGCCAGCACCATGCAGGCAGCAATATGCTACTACGTTGACGCCATACGTAGTTAGTTCAGTGAACATTATTTAATAAATAAATAAATAACAGAAAGGTTCAGAGTTATGAAGATAACTGATAAGTACGCTATATATTTTACAGATTGATCGTTATAAAAACCTGTACAAATAGAAATTAAAACTATACTCTGTCCAGCGAGAAATCACGCCGATTCTGCGCATCTACACTCGATACCCTGCCAACGAGAACGGTTCTATATATATGGCAGTGTCGTACACTGTGGGGATGCGCAGAAGAACCGATTTCAACGGGCAGCGGAGTGTTCTCCCGGCTCCCGCTGAACAGACTAGACAGCTGACCGTCGACAGATAGTTTTGTTTTTACTCTTGAGTCATGTGTAATATACCATATAGTATCATACACGTACAACGTATACTGTTGCGATACGCAAAAAGAAATGTTCAAAAACCAATGATTTAGTTTAATATAATTCGTGCAATAATTAAAATACTAATTGAATGTACTTTTAAAAATTAACACAATCTGTATAATAGTTGTACTCACATACCTAGTGTTTGTGAAATATAATAATAAGTAAATTTTAATTTTAAACAAACTTAGTAGGTACCTTATTAGGTACCCACATACCTATACCTAATTGTTGATATACCATAATATAATATGTTTTAACTAAGGTATATATTATACGTACTGTAATGTGATAGTTTTTATCATCGTAACCATCTAATTCTTGGATTTTTCCATTGATAAAACCGTAATCGTTTTTCAAAATGTTCTTAACCTGATCCTCGCTTATAGTGGGGCAAATGTTTTCCGTTGGATCTGCCATTTTTTGTTAGTAAGTATATTATATAATATGAGTACAACGCTGAAACAAATAATAACATTGAATCACATCCCTTTCAATTCCCAAAACCAAGTTAAAAAATAAGCGATTGATCATACTTTTATAATAGATATACAACTGAATGTAACACACAAATAATACAATTTTAATATACTAAAACGAATTAAGCGCAGTACATATTATAGCGGAGACATAATATAATATAATATGCTGCAGTAGTGGCAGTAGTGCAGTAAATACTATATACATACACATTGTCCAATTGATGTTGTTAAACCACGCCCTGTAAACTCGGTCCCTACTATAAATTATATCAGGCGCCTATTATACTCATTGAATTAGTCTCTGGCTCTCAAAGTGTAAAAAGATAATACATTTACACCACTTATCAGTTATCATTTTGCCTAAACATTAAATCTAAAGTACCTAATATAATTGACATTACAACAATAACATGTAAACGTGCAAAGGTAAATGAATAAATAATTAACGACCATTTTAATTTTCTATATAATATATGATGCAATGATGAGCATACATATATTTCATAAATGAAAAATTGTAAGGGATGAGAGATTTGGGATTTTACAGAGCCTTGTTTCTGCCAGTAAAAAATTGGGTAATTACTATTTACTTTTCTTGACCCTCATAAAGTCATAATATCGAAGTAATAAATACTAAGCAGATTAGAGTACGATACTAGAGTAGAAATTTCCGCCCGCGGCTAACTGCAGCCTATTGGCTCCCGGAGTAGGTACAATAACCGAAAAATACTAACATTTGATTTGGAAATTGAGAATCATTTTTTTAAAATTATAGGTACGTATTAATAGATAAAATGAATTCAAACTCCAATAAGTTGTTTTAGTTCTAGAAACATAATATAATACATTAATCATTATATTATTCAGAAGACAGACGACATCACCATGTCCTATCAATGGAGTAGCCAAGTAGGAAGAGGGAAACATTGCCTACACCTGACAATTTTTTTTTCCGTCCCAAAGCTTGGTTAGAACTCTAATTTTCCATTCTGACCGTTTCTCGCTTGTCCTGTAGTTTTCTTTCCTTCTATCATATACCCTCTAATATTATATTATGCATCTCTTCTGCAGGGTGTTTCAGGGCATAACCAACCATTTTCTTATACCTTGCTCTAATCGCATCTATACGACTTAAGTATGATTCCTTAGTGTACGTTTTTCTCTCACAGTGCTGAGTACTTCTTCATTTGTTTTCCGCTCTATCCAACTTATCCTCTCCATACGCCTCCAACACCACATCTCAAATGCTTCTATATTATTTTATTTTCTGTATCATTTATTACCCATGTTTCACATCCTATATCCATATGTTGCAACACTCCATTTACATATACATATGTTTCAATAAGTCTCTTCTTGATATTCAGATGCAATGTTTTTGAAATGAATAATTTGTGTTTTTTACTAAAGGCAGTTTTTGCTAGTGCTATGCGTTGTTTTCTCTCGTATACGCTCTTACCATCAGATGTGATTTTTATGCTCCCTATAGGGATACCATTTCGGCATTTCATCTATACTTACTCTAGTTTTTGGCTATACATCCGACAGTAGGTAACAAATATATTTAGAACATATTAGTGTTTAACAAAATTTTAAATTGGGGTGAAAATTTAAAAATACACTTGATTGCAACTCCTGATAAAAATGTCTAGCTAAATTCTTCGTTCGACAGATATGGGTGACGGTATAATATGGAATATACCAGGTGATCAATTGAATTGTCTACACCGATTATTTAGTAGTTTTAATTTTTTTTTAATATTCTTTTTATATAATTTTATGTAATTTCAAAACGACATTGCTGAAAAACAAAATATTTTTACTATTTCTCATGTTAATAATTTACGAAGCTTTTTATTTTTTTAAATGACACTATACATTTTTTATTTCATATTCTGAGCTGAATATTATTTGGGATAGGTATTCAATGTATAAAAATTGATCATCGAAGAAGTAGTTGAGTATATTTGGTTTAAGTAGATATTCAATGATTTGATTAGTTATACCTAACAAATAACAATGTATACCGCTCAACAATATTTTAATCAAGAGTCGTAACCCGCTGCCATCATTGTAATTTTTTGTGGCCCGTGAGTAAAATTTATAATTTTTATGAAAAACGTGAACTAATATAGTATGGATTTAAAACTTTAAAACGTTGTTGACTTATGTAGATACATATTGTTAAATGAATAAACCTAACAGTCAGAAAAATTAAATAAACTAAATTTGATATGACTAAACATTTTTGTTTAAAGTAAAATAAGGCATAGGTATTCAAATTGTGGCTCTTGAAAAATTTTAAATTTATTTTTTAAAGTTCAAATGATTATAAAATAATATCTAACAAATTATATTAGTCCGAAATTTGATCTTAGTGAACAAAATATTTCAAATGATATTCTGCTTCAGAATATGAAATACTAAATTAATGGTGTCATTAAAAAAAGTAAAAATGTATAACGAAAAAAAAATAGTAAACTATGTAATTTTTCAGAAATGTCGTTTTGAAATAATGAATGTAGACTGTGGCGAACACTTAAAGGGTTCATTCTACATACAATTTTATTTAAAACATTAAAGTTAGATACATATTATGTACCTACCTGGCTACCTATACGACCCTATGGCGCTGAAACCTTATAATATATCTCTACCTAGGTATACGGCTAATTATAAACTAAACCACGCACTAAATAGGACAATTTAAAAGCCGAAATATTTTTGAAATGATAGGTACCCTATTTTATGTTGACCCCTAGAAAATGTTAATACAAATAGTTATTGATAAAGTTAAGTCTTATAGCATACAGATATTCATTTTTGAATTACACCAAAAACACAAAATTGACTGTAGCTAGTTAATTAGTTTTAACTGTCCTGCCGCTATAATACATGTACCTACATAGTAAATGCACGTAGGTGGCGCTTAGGTTTAGCAGTTATAATATACAATTCAGTATTCACAATAGTACAAATATAAAAAAAAGGAAAAATATAGCCTCACAAAGTCACAGGTATATAACATTTCAAATAAAGTGCCAAAATTATAAAAGTCCAAAATGTAATATTTAAAAATGTGATAGTCAGCGCCCACGACATTATATTTATTAACAATTATTGAAAATGTACCTACGAAACAATTCGTTGATTCGCACCCTGCAAGAATATAAAATAATATAATATTAAAAGAAAACGCGATTGCCGACTGCAAGGGTTTTAGCAATAAAAATTATTTATTATTTATAATAGTACAAAATTTGCAGAAAAAAACTATACTGAAAAATTATAATACCTATATATAGGTAACAAACCGAGAGATTCGGTTTTCGACACAATACTAATATTATATTATATTATAATATGACAATTGGATAAAGATTAAATTATTATAATGAGTACCTTTTAATATAAATTGCATGTCAGTGTCGAGTGACAGAAATCTTTGGAACTTGATTGGCGACTATCAAGTAGGTACTATACAGATGATTGAACTCGGAGCAGTCACTAACACTGAATTTAATAATAATGGGTAGATGCACCAGGATGTTAACAAATACAATAATATACATATATTAATACAATTATAAAATATATAAAATTCCAAATGCATATTATAATAAAGTTTAAAATAAGTCTAAATATTTTGAAATTTCATTGTATATACCTATCCCAAAAGAAAATTGAACAAAATACAGTATAAAATATGTTTAAAAGTTTCTACGGGCTACAATTAATATTTTTTAAATTATTTTAAAATAATAAACATTTTCACTAATTTTTGTCGTTTATTATTAAAAGTATTCGAAATTATTACCTAAATACTTATAATTACTATTGAGCTGAGAGCGTTTTAACCACAAAAGTATTAATTAGTCATTAGATCTAACTTACTTCCAGAAACCAGTCCCAAAGTTGTAGATTTTTTTTCTTTGTTGCAAATGGTGATGACTGCAGACTTAAAAATTTAATAATAATAAAGTTAATACATAAAATACTAATAGTTTAATGTATTCCTTTTTTTTTGAAAAATATTTTAAATTATGATAATCTTTAAGTATTAATTCGGAATCTGTTTGCACTGGATTTTTTATACTCATTACTCGTGTGTATTTATATGTTTATATAACCTGTTACGGGACTTTTCTTTAATCGTTAATATTATTATTGCGTATTAGCATACGCAATAGCCAATAGTGCACTATTAAAATTTGAGGCTATAATATTATATAAAGGGAGCAGGTTATACGTACTATTTATTGACATGTCAAAATGCATTTTTAAAACATTTTTTTCTTCGATTTGTGAGAAAAATATAAATTCATAAATATCGTTTGTAATAGGAACCTTTTTTACCGAAAACCGGGTAGACCACGATTCCGTAATTTGACTTTCTGGTAGACATTTTTATTGATAAAGGTGAGCAAACTTTAAAGGAATCGTGTATGACATTTTTAAATCTTAGATATAAATAGAAATTTTTTTATGAATTTCCAACTCAAAATAATTTGCAAATTTTCGCAATTTTTACGAATTTTTTCAAGGTTCTAACTTCAGAGGTTCATACAAAATTATGGGATACTTATTCTAATTTTTTTTTTTTAATTTCCACTAAAAACAACTGACGAAAAACCATGTATTACATTTTTTAGCTTTTTGACAAGGTGAACATTTTTGTATCGACATAAAGGTTTGGTAAATAACTAATAATAATTGAAAATTTAATTTGCCCATAAATAGCTTCACATTAATCATAATATTTTGAAATTTGAATGGTGTATAGAAAATGCTAATGTACTCATTTAGTGAAAATGTCATGCATCTATGAGCATTTTTTTATAGTTACACAATCGATTTTGTTGAAACTAATTTGAGAATAAATTTTTTTTTTAGTTTTTCGGCGTTTTGCAAATAACTGCAGGGAATTTTAAACTACACATAGGGACGTGTTCCAATGTAAGCAATTTAAAATGTTGACCTCCCGAATGCACATTATGCATCAGCATCATTATTCATAATTGCACCAACTAAATTCACTTTCCTACCGTAAAAGACACCTACTGAAGTTGAAAATCGAGTCTTATTTGGACTACATATCGTGTAGGTACATAGGCACAACAAATACTAATAAATAAAAAAAAACGCATTATAAACTATTAAACTCATTACATTCATCGATCGGCTGAAAATCTAAAATCTTGTGGT